TTTTGTGTATAAAATTTGTATATTAAAGTGTTAATAATATGTATTTCATGATAAATATTTACCATATAAACATATATACATATTTTTATTTTTAAAAAATAAAAAAAATATATATAAAAAATATAAAAAATATATATGGACCGGGTCAATCGGGTTGACCCGGCCGGGTCAATGCCCCGGGTCGGCCGGGTTTTGACCGACTTTGACCGGGTCCTTGGTTGTCCTGCCCAAAATACTCCACCCGGACCGGTTCCGGCTCCGGGTCGACCGGGTCCCGGGTCGATCCGCCGGGCCGGTCCGGGTCTCAAAACACTGGTGCATGCAAAAGAGAACAAGCTATCTGGGCCATGGCCCTCTAGAAAAGCACATATTTAATTAAAAAGTCAAAATTAGTATTTTAGATTATTCCATCAACTTCTATTCAATAGATATAGACATGTCTGACATAATAGTACAATTGAAATAGGTTCTTAGGCAGTGTAAGTTATTCCTACATTTTTCCCACTGTCTTCAAAAATGTGGAACAGTTTTGGGATTATTCATGTGATGATAATTTGAATTCCATATTTATCTTCATTTCATTTCACTGAAAAGTTGGACTTTAGAAAAATAAGGTTGCGATATAATCTGTTACCAGAATAAAACGGAATCAATTCCGTTATCGGCCCAACTTTTGATAATTAAATAAAATACATATACTGATAGTAGACGAGAATAATCGATTTGTATCTACGGCCACCTCCCACATCGCCCTAAAAAAGGACGCCGAGAATCTCGATCTGTCACTGACTTGAATTCCGAGAATCTCGAGTGTATATCTTATTGTATATTTTATGTATATGTGAGTTCTGAATTTGATTTTGAAAAACGATTAAATCTCGAGTGTATATTTAAAGTATATTTTATGTATATGTGTCGCAATCTGTCACACCGGATAAAAGAAGAACAAAAATGGATTATATATAAAAGATATACTGAATATCGATTTTGCTATGGAGCCATCGGATGGTTCGACTTATGGAGTCATCCATAGTTTTCCACAAATGGCGTATTGACACGTGTCCTGCAATAAATACACATTGGACACGTGTCAATACATAAAGGAGCCATCCAATGGCTCTATAGACTTTCTGTACTGAATATATAGTCATTATATACAGACATATAAATACAGAAATAAACTGATATATCATTATATACATAATATATACAGAAGATATACTGAAAGTATGTTATACACATCAAACTTGTAAAATAATTAGAGATAAACACAAAAAAACAAGGCGGCCAAAAAATAAAAAATAATAATAAAAAAAAACCTTCCTTCGTCTTACTCGAAAACCAGTGCCTCAGGCTAATTTAATCCAGCAGTTCTCATATGAGGTGCTGTTTGAGAACGTTAACACTCGTCGGCACCTCAGGACGGAGCAAGTCAGGTTTTTCTTCTTCTTCGCGCTGACCCGACTTCTCGTGCCTCTCCAAAACCTTCTTCTCGCCCCACCGTCGCGTCTCGTGGTCTCGATCGTGGAGGAGCAGATCTCGCACACCCGGACATTCTGGCAATCGGCGTTAGAGTTGGGGCAGTCGCGCGATCGAACTAATTGTATGTATATGTATGTATACGGGCATCGATGAAAACTCGATCTGGTTCAAATATGTGCAATTAATATTTTAATGTAGGAGGTTTATAAAGAGAGAGAGGTGCCGTGTTTATCTCGTACATATACAAATATTTAAGGCGATTGAAGCAGTTTTGCTTATAAAATATTTTTAAGATATATATATATATACATATATATATACTCCCTCTGTTTCTTTTTAGATGTCGATTTAATTTAAAACTTCTAAATTACGATTTTCATGGGATGTAATAACCTTATATATTAATCCTTATAAATTTAGTGTTTGAATTATTAATGGTTGGTTTTAAAGATAATGATAAGAGATAAAGTTTGTTAAAGGAAATAAAGTTGAAGGAATGAATAAAATATTTCCAACGACAATTAATTTGCAAAAAAAAATTTACATCCTACAACATGTATTAAAAAACAAAGAGAGTAATATTTTATTATTTGACAAAAAAAATTTTACATCCTACAACATGTATTAAAAAACAAAGAGAGTAATATTTTATTATTTGACTGTGCGTAGACAATACTAACCCACTAGTAGTAATAATATGAACAAATAAACGTATCTCAAGACTTCTCATACAAATTAGATGATTTTTTATTTTATTTTTCTTTCATTGATGGCAAGTCCCAAAAGTGTCTTAAAAGTGAAATTATGCGGTAGAATAACTAGAATATTCCAGATGCATCCGTTTAATTACCCTCTAATCTACTATCCAAAACACTACACCTTATAACATTTTGTTTTTTCAGCATTTTCTTCCAAAAAGCTTTATTGAAAAGCTTCGTAACCGAATGAACTATTCAAAATTTTTAATTTGGTGAAGCCGCAAAAACAACGGTTTTGGGCAAAAAGCTGAAAAACAAATTAAGGCAAAATCTCCAAGTACAAATGATAACAGAAGCTTGAGAAAACTAAAAGAGGGAGAGCGGATTCCAAATTTCCAATGAGAAAGCACAACATATGTATTCGAGATTCCAGTTTAGTTTAGGTAGCAACTAGCAACCGCCACAATACCAGTGCCACCCTCAGAACATGAAAAGTACTAAAAATAACAAAGATATTTGTAATTAGTGCTATAAGCGAGTTGAGAGCCCTACTCGGCTCGTTAAGTAAACAAGCGAGAAATTGAGCTTGGCTCATTTATCACTATTAACCAACTAATTTTGAGCCTAATCGAGCCAATCTCTAGCCTTAATGAGCCAATTATAAAATTATATAAAAATTCTCTTTTGGAACCTTAATGAGCCTGACTCTTTAATGAAACGAGCTTTAAGCAAGATCGAGCTCGTTTATCAAACGAGTCGAGCCGAACTCGAGCCTTACAAGTTGAGTCCAGCCGAGCTCACGAGCGACTCGTTTCGTTTAGTAACTCTATTTGTAACATTACAAACAAATTTCACGAAAGGCAACTCAAAGCTGCAGGCTAGTCAATTCTTCAAACAAATCTCAGTTAGCAGACGAGCTCTGTCCAGCTGGTACTAAAGAAACTATTTAAAGATACTAAAGAAAACAAATAACTCTTAGAACCTTTTGCAATAGCTCTAACTTTAAAGAGTTGATCAAACAAAATTATCATCTCAAAGGTTAAAAAAGCCAGATAGCATGGAGCACCAGCCGCAATGAATATCACAAAAGACTCAAATAATAATACATAAATTAGACGCACACCAGAACAAACAAGATCACTCACAGTTCACAACCAGCTATCAAAAACCCATCATGGCCACAATTCATACAAGCTGATATACAGCTCAGTAATATGCCATAATTTCTAGTCAACAGACATACATGTCAGAATTAACCAAACAACAAAGCATTTTAAATTCATAGCGATCAGCGTTGTACTAAAAGGGAACAAAATCAAGGTGCATAAAAAAGCAACATAGCATGATATAGTCTTCATCTCATTCTCGCAATAGCATTCAAAAAACATAAAGATCCAAAAATCAACACAAAAGATAAAACGAGACTAGTGAACCAAATGCAGCCAACAAACCTATTAATCTATGGTCTGCATGATATCCTCGGCGGTGAACTTGGTCCCCTTGTCCTTGTCGGCCGCGGCGCGCCCCTTGGCCTTGCGCTCGAGCAGGGACTTGCGGTCCTTGTCGAGGCGGAGCTTGGTGATGACGACTTTTGAGGGGTGGATGCCGACATTGACGGTGGATCCGTTCACCTTCTCGCGGGTGATGCGCTCTATGTGGATTACCCACTTCTTGCGGTATACCTGAACGACCTTTCCCTCGCGGCCCTTGTAGGTTCCCCGGACAACCTGCACCTCGTCGTCCTTGCGGACCGGCATCGATCGGACGTTGTACTTGGACCGGAGGTCGCTGGAGAGCGGCGCGCTCATGATGACGCGGCGGACACTCGACGGCGCCGTGAAGTGGGCCTTTCGGCTCTTGCGGCGGGAGGAGGAAACGCGTGGGTTGAACTTCATTTTACCTTCGCCGCTTTTCCGCTCTGATCTGTTCGGTGTGATTGTGTGCGATGAATGTTAGGGTTTATGGAATTTATAGTGGTTGTGCTAATACGGTGTCGTATTATATTACTCTGATTCGTGGTTAGATATCTGAGTTGGGTTGTATTCGCATTGTTCTGAAAAAATACATGGGCCAATTTGTCAAAATGTTATGGGCTTATTATTGGAATTTTGATGTGATGGGCGCTATCTTTGTTCTCAAGTGGGTGTATTGTGGCTAAATTACAAATTTATATATAACAATGTACACTTCAAAGAGAAAAATTCACCACTTTTATTTTTTTATAGACAAAAATGGTGCTCCATATTCTTTGGTACATTTTTATTGAATTACGTGATTTTTTTTTATTTACAAATATTAATATCTTACCAAGTTAAACTTTGTTAATTATGGTATAATAGTGATAATTAGTTAATAGGATATTAAATTCGGATTTGTCTCGTTCAAACCAATAAAAATCCTCATTCTCTCTCTCCTTCCCCATCTATCCTCTTCTCTTCTTCCTTCTTGCTGATTCACATACTCTGTGTCCTCTCTCTCTTTTTTTCTTTTTCTATAAATTCTTCTTTCTCCATGCTCATTCACATACTCTGTTCTCTTGTTTTTGGTTCTTCTTCTGTAAATTCACGCACAAAAAATTTCAGAAGCAAAACTCTGTAAGAAACGGGTGGAAAACGGGTGCAGTCCCACGCAGATGAAGCGCACCAAAAGCAGGGAAAGCCTAGATGAAACCCATGTAGGGTTCCATCCCAACACTAATTGGTGGAAGGAGGAGTAACCCATTTGACTTATAAATTAGGCCTATTTTTCCTATATAAATGATGTGGGACAACTCACAAGTGAATATTCTAATACGCCCGCTCACTTGTGAGTTCTTCATAAGAAGCTCAAGCCCATATACGGAGCGGGGTGCCCAAGTCCTACTATAGAGAGATGGAGCAGGGATTTTTGTTTGGCTTCATCATGATTTCTATAGAGAGATGAATATTATTGTCATTGTAATTTCAATTTATCTCCGGTTCTGTAATAAGGATGAATAGGTTGAAGAAAATCTAGTTTTTTTGTTATTTTTTTTTAATAAATTTGGGAGGTTTGTTATTATTAGCTTGGTACACGTTGCTATTTATTAGAGTTGGTTTTTTTTATTTAACCTTAAATTTTGGATGATTACTACTTTTTTTTATTGAATCATTTTGATGTTAATATTTCTTAGGGAAAATTACACTTTACCTACCCAACTATTCGCTTTTTTACACTTTGCCCACCAAACTTCGTTTTGCGACACTTAACCAGGCAAACTTCGTGAAATGTTGCACTTCACCTGTTTCCGGTCACCGGCAGCCATTCTCAGGAGCTTTTCTGTCTTTTCCTTCTCTAAAACAGGGATAAAATTCCCAATTCTCAATTGGGGTTCAATTAAACCCGACAGAAAGAGAAAAAACCCCTAGTTTTGTTCAAATCGTGCCAAAAATTCTGAGAAAAAACAAAGAAGAACAAACCAAATGAACTGATTGAAAATCTATATTTTCTTCAAATCGTTTGTAATGGGTTGGCAAATTCGTGAGAAAAACGATTCATCCAGTGCGAATGGCCCGTCATATGGTAAGTCTTGTTTTGTGTTTTTTGCTGACAAAATATGTTAATTCATACAACAATTATTGTAATAATTTTGCAGTTTATAGTGATTGATTATATTTTTGTAATTGTCATATGGGTTGCAGGACCAAATGATGAATATTTTACAATTAGGGTTTACCATTGTGGCAAGTTTGTGGATTTGGGCCGCAAGTGTTATCTAAATGGTGAGATTTCACATGTCGATTATTGTCATCCTGATGAAATGTCATTGATTGAAGTAATGAGCATGCTAGAAGATTTAGGGATTGATGCTATAAAAAATGTGTACTGCAGTAGGAGTGGTGTTAATGACTGCAATGACCTTGTGTTGTTAGAAAATGATCATATTGTCATGCAAATGGTGTTTATGGTGGATGAACATAAATTAGTTGGTCTGTATGTGGAACATGAAATAAGCACCTCTGAAAACTGAGTTGAACTTCCTGCAATTAGTGAGCCTTTGGAATTTATAGGTGATAATGATGAATATGAACTGATTGAAAATCCTTCTTCTATGTGTGGTAATGTGGATGATCATGATAGGGGTAGGGGCACTTTTGATAATGGTTTGAGTAGTGATGATGAGCAATCCCTTGGGTCAGATTCTGAACTATCTGAAACTTTTGATGACAGTGAAGGAGAGAAATCTGATTTTGAATGTGATAATGATTGGTTTGATGATAATATTGATCTTGATGTGGAGTTTGGGGGTGTGGGGATGGACTTATCTCAAAATATTTCAAAGTCTGTCAAAACTAGAGCAGAAAGTAGTAAGGGTCATAAGGGTCATGAAATTTTCAATGAGAAGTCAGATATGAATAACCCTAAGTTTGAATTAGGAATGTTCTTTCCTGATATGGCCCAATTCAGAAAAGCAGTGAGAGAAAGTGCAATAAAAAATGGTAGAGATGTTTGTTTCAAAATTAATGAGAAGACCAAAGTTCAGGTGAAATGTAAGCATCAAAAGTGTCCATGGGTCATTTATGCTGCAGTGTTGTCAGGTGAAGACAGTGTTCAAGTTAGGAATTATAACCCCATACACAGGTGCCCTAGGAATCAAAGGGTGTCTCATGCCAACTCCAAATGGTTGGCTGAAACTTATAGAGAAAAAATATGGTCTGATCCTAGATGGCCTGTTGAGTCCATGCAGAAAGTCATGCAGAGTGAGCACAAACTTGTTTTCAACACTAGTCAGTTATATAGGGCCAAACAGAAAGTGTTAGCAAGTGGGTCTGGGGGACATTGTGAACAGTTTGCTATGTTGTGGTCCTATGCTGCTGAGATTAGAAAGACAAATCCTGGCACTTCAGTCAAAATCAAGTGTAAGAGGATTGGGGAACAAACTTTTTTCAAAAGGTTATATATATGCTGGGGAGCCTTAAGGGATGGGTTGTTAGATGGGTGTAGGCCAGTGATATTCTTAGATGGGTGTCATTTAAAGACATCAATTGGGGGGGTTATGTTGACTGCTGTGGGCATAGATGCCAACAATGGCATGTATCCCTTTGCATATGCAGTAGTTGAAAAGGAGAAGAAAAAATCTTGGAGCTGGTTTCTGGAGTTACTAATTAATGATTTGAATATTAGAAACCCCTACCATTGGACATTCATGTCAGATAAGCAGAAGGGTTTGGTAGAGTCCATTGACACTCTTCTACCTGGGGCTGAGCATAGATTTTGTGTGCAACATCTATATGCCAATTTCAAAGCCTCACATAAGGGCCTAGCTCTTAAGACTTTGCTGTGGAAAGCTGCAAGAGCCACCAGAGTTCAAGATTTCAAGAACACAATGATGGAGCTAAAACAAAGGGATGTACCTGCCTTTGAATGGTTAAATGCTAGGCCACCTGCACATTGGTCTAGGTCTCACTTCAGTACACACTCTAAGTGTGATGCTCTGTTGAATAACTTGTCAGAAAGTTTCAATGCTTTGATTATAAAGGCTAGATCTCAACCAATAGTGAAAATGTTAGAGATGGTGAGGATGACACTGATGAAGAGAATCCATGTTAAAAGGGATAAAATGCTGAAATACCATGAAAATTTGTGCCCTAGAATTGATAAGCTGCTTGAAGAATTGAAAAAGAAGAGCATGGAATTTGTGGCATATTGGAATGGTAAGGACCAGTTTGAAGTTGAGGGCAGTTCAGGAACCAAGTTTAAAGTTCACATTGGTGAGAAAACATGCACTTGTAGAAAGTGGGAGCTCAGTGGCATCCCTTGTCAACATGCCATATCAAGGATGTATTACTTAGGTCATGAACCTGATGATTATGTTGATGAATCATTGAAGAAAGAAACTTACTTGAGGGTTTACAGTCATTTGATGGGAACTTTAGCTAGCTCAGATGAATGGCCTGAGGTTGAGGCTCATCCATTAGTCCCACCAGCAGTTGGGAGATTACCTGGAAGACCCAAGAAATATCAAAGGAGGAGAAGCAAAGATGAAACCAGTGGAAAAAATCTGAGTACACATCAAACTGGCAATGGTGTGAGGCTCAGCAAAAAAGGAGTGGTCATGAAATGTTCATTATGTAAGCAACCAAATCATAATGCTAGGGGTTGTCCTAAAAAACCTGTTTCTGAAAAAACCACTCAAGGGTTAGATGTGCCGGCTGCCAATGAGAATGCAAGAAAGGTACAAATTACAATCATTTGTTGTAATCACAATTTATATTTTTCATTTTCTGTTCATTAAACCCAGTTTATATTGCATTGTAGGCCTCAAGATCAAGAATTAAACCAGTTTCTGCATTAAGAGGTGAAGGGTCAACTGTGTTGTCAACAGAAAATGAAGTTGGAGGAGTGGTACAATTTATAATCATTAGGTGTAATCTTTTTTATTTTCTAATTTTTGTTCATTAATCTCAGTTTATTTGCATTTTAGGCCACAAGATCAAGAATTAACAAACCAATTTCTGCATCAAGAAGTGAAGGGTCAAATGTGTTGTCAACAACAAATGAAGTTGGAGGAGTGGTACAATTTATAACAATTAGTTGTAATCATTATATACTTTCTAAGTTTTGTTCATTAATCTCAGTTTATTTTGTATTTGTAGGCCACAAGATCAAGAACTAAAAATCCAGCTTCTGCATCACCAAATGAAACTGGAAGAATGGTATAGTTTATAAACATTTTTTGTTATCTGATTTATAGAAATGTAATTGTTGTTCTCTAACCCTTTATTTTTGCATTGTAGGCTACAAGGGCAAACAGTAAGGTAATAATTACTTAATTTAAGTGTGTTATGGTGAAGTTCATGATTAGGTAGTAACAAACACATCTCAGAAATCTAATTGTTGTTATCTGATTTATATACTTTTTTCACAGGGTACTAAAAGAGTTCTTGAAGTGGGTGTTTGTGGTGGAGCTGAGCCTTTCAAAGTTGCTACTACCCAACAATCTCAGAATGCACCTAAAGCCAAAAAAATGAACATTCACAAGGGGAAGGATAAGAGGAACAAGACCCCTGAAAAAGCTAGGCATTAGATAATGTGAAGTTTTCAACAGTTTGGTGTGTTTTGTTTTGTTGGCAAGTTCTACAGACAATTGTAATGAATGGTCATGCACTATTTTTTTGCTTTTGTTTTTGGTGTGTTTTTTGTTGGCAAGTTCCACAGTTTGGTTTTTGCTTTTTGGTTTTTGGGCAATGTTTTGTTAGAATGTTGATGTTTAACAATGAATGAATGGTGAAGTTTATGTCTTATCAGATTGTGTAGTATTGACAGTGGCTTATGTTGGAAAATGGATGAATGAATGGTGTAGTTTAACAATGAATGAATGTTTTTGTATTGACATTGTAGTCTATTTATTAATGACAGATTCGTCGTAATGTGTGTGATATTTTGTTTGTTTGAGTTTAACATATTGTGATGGGTTTTGTGTCAATTGTAACTCAAAGATTCATGACAGAATCTTCACAATCTATTCAATGCACAACGAAAAAAATTACTTACACATTGCACAAGGGACAACATTACATCTTCAAGCAAATTCATTGCACAACCAAACTACATAAAAAAGTCTTACACATTACATTACAAAATTCCACAAAATCATGTCTTAAACATTACAGAATTCTTTCACATTCTACCAAAACAAGTCTTACACATTACATTAAGAAGTCTTACACATTCCACCAAAACATGTCTTACACATTAAACCACCAAACTACTTCATTTTTTCAAAAAAAAAAATACAGAATGATCCAAGAAGCAACAAGAGCAAACCACATTTTTTTTGCCTGTTTTCTCTGGCTTGCCAACTCGGCTTCAGCCTCGTCAAGACGCCTCTTAAGCCCTGGGATGATTTGTCGAGCTCTTGTGCACATTGGAGGGTCGATCCAAACATAATATTTGCAGCCCTTCTGACGAGAAAAAAAAAAAATTATACTATCTATCAGATCAAATTGTTTTAAGCTTACTCATCCACTTAATTAGTATTTTCTACACAAAAGGAGAAAAAAATGTACCCGTCCTTTTTTGCAGGCTGCATACCGCCTTCCCGGGTTGTCGTCTGTCCAAGATGTGATCATCACTGTCTTCTTTCCGCACCTACAATACTCATCCAAAGTGACTTCAGATGTTTGCCTCCAGATCGCCTCTTCCGTCATTTCTTCAAGATTCAATTTAGGTTTTTGCAATTTGGGAATTTTTTTCTTCGATTTAGGTTTTATACGATCAGTTATAAGAGAGGATATATGTTCAGACAATTTTATCCCTGTTTTAGAGAAGGAAAAGACAGAAAAGCCCCTGAGAATGGCTGCCAGTGACCGGAAACAGGTGAAGTGCAACATTTCACGAAGTTTGTCTGGTTAAGTGTCACAAAACGAAGTTTGGTGGGCAAAGTGTAAAAAAGCGAATAGTTGGGTAGGAAAGTGTAATTTTCCCTATTTAATTATGGGGTTCATGACCTCTGCCTATTGTTTTAAGGCAGCTAAAGATGTTGGCTTTGAAAAATGGGGTTCAAATTAGGGTTAGGGTTTTTTTGAGATGAATTTGATTGATGATTTGGGAAAAAGAGATGAGGAAATGAATGGCAACACTAGAAAATTTAACTTTAGCTAAAGGGAAAAAGGTAATCTTAACACAAATGCTATACTTATCAATCATGAACCAAACAAGTTAATTGTCCTTTTTTATTAAAAGGATATCACTTCATTTTATTTATGGGAATTAATCAAGCTCAATCACTCAAAGTAACCCTTAATGTTTCGTCATTATAACACATTCTTTTTAAGAGAATGGCAAGAATATATTCTTGCTACTGATTTGTTGCTTTAGTAAGCTTCAATACAACTTACTATAATGAATCAAATATTTTTTTCATATCATATATCACAAATATTAATTTTATAATGTGATTTTTATTATTTTATAATTTATATAATATAATATAAATGTTTTTTCATATTATTTTACATAAAACCTATCAATGTACATTTCTAAAAATTACAGTAAATTACATTTTTCATGAATTCTGTGCAAAAAGTAAATAACTTGTTACTCACATGAACATTAACTATTACTGGACCTATTTGTAAATTTACAAAAACGATCCATCTTGCACGTCATTATGATGAGAATCTTCACTTGCTTTGCAAAGAAAATAATTGTTGAAACTTATTTTGTCAATAAAAGAAAGTGAAAATATGTAGACATGATTATAAACTAAATTAATGTGGACCAAAATTGAGTCATTTTTTGTATTTTTTCTTGAGTATATATTCATTTGTTTTTTAGTTGGCTCATAGTTGTACATGTTAATATCAATTATTCGTATATCTGTCTATCCGTATATAATATAATGTCTTTGTTTTTTTTAGAAATGATGAAAATTATTTTACCATCGAGAAATTTGTAGGAAAAATTTTGAGTATCACTATTATGACGAATACCTTTTTTCAGTCAAATATCACAAGTTTTTTTTTTCTTTTTTTTTAAGTTTAATGTATTTAATTTTATTTTTTCTATGAAAAAACATTTGACATTTTTTAGTCACAGTCAATTATATGTTGTTGTTATTAGTCATGAATCTCTGTTGTTTAATGATTATTATTTATAATGATAATAGTGATTATGAACGACGTTTATCCGCTACTAATGTTTTATTTAGGGAAGCATTTTTAAAATATAATAAAAAAAATTCATTCTATACTTTATTATCTCAATACATGTTTGATACATGGTTCTAAAAACTGGGCCGGACTGGCCGGTTCAACCGGGTGGCATACCGACCCGATTTGTTGTATGAAACCGCTTTAGTAAAAAGCCGGTCAAAAACTGCTTAAACCGGTTGAAAACCAGTAAAACCGGAAAATCGCTCACAGGTCAAGCGGGCCAACGGCTTCAAAGTTGGGCTACACAAGTTATGAATTAAATAGCAAAATCTTTTTCAATATTTTTTCAATGTGGGATGTCTATTCAATGTGAGTTTATAATTTTTTGCCCTTCGCTTTGTCTTCTGTTGTAGCAAATTATATTTTTACCGAGTACGGGATGACTCCCGACCTCTGGTCGATCTCACGAGGAAGGCGGTTCGAAATACAGCTTGGAATCGATCACACGTAAAAAGAAAATAGATCCTAAACACTCTAATCAGATAGCAGATTGGATGAACTATTAACTAAGAAATAAAGTAAAACAATAATCTACCTAAAAATATAAACGGAACAAAGATGGAGAAGCTAGGGAATCGGGGATAATTTATTCAAGTTCTTAGCAAAATCGGACAATCAATTGTTCGGTTCGAGATTGACACTTTCGCTTAAACATCTAGCGGTTCGCTCCCAATAACTCTTCGTATCAAAGGATTGAACATAGACGAATAAACTCGAGCATACAACACAGACCAATTATCCCAATCCCACACTTTTCGTAATAAAGGATGGGTCATCGACAAGGACGTATTTCAATCTAAAACCTATAGATTATTCAATTACGACATTATCTATCTCATGCAAGCCTAGGTCTACGACTTCTCCCCTTTCGGTTCAAAAAGTCGCTAATTTAATTAGAAGGTATTTAATCAACTAATCATTGGAATTAACAAAACCAAACTCGACAACTCAACATCCAATTGTTACCAACTGCAAGATCGAAGTGTCACCCTTCGATTACATCAAACTATCAAGCACAATTTCATCAATTCATCATCAATTCAACTTACATAAGCATGAACAAATCAAGCCCGACAAATGCACGTTAAACAAGAACAATCATCCCCTATCCCTAGCAGTAAGAATTAGCTACGTAAAATAAATCCAACACCAATAATCATCTCTCCCAAATCAATCATTATTCATGCATTAATTCAAAGAGAAAAGAAACTTACAATTTATTCAGCCCAAGTGTTGAATCCCAAAGTACAAAGCTTAATCCTTGATAACTAAGAAGAAGAAGAAAAATAGAAAAGAAAAGTGAAAAGAACGAAGATAACGAGGAAGAAGAAGAAAGGGAAGAAGAAAGGAGTGTTCTGTGTTTTTCCCGATCCTATGGTTTTCACCCAGGAGGGTGAGATAATTTTAATCGCAATCCCAATCCCATATATATAGCCTAGCAGGTGACATGGCGTGAGGAAGTACAGTGCGGCGTGAGGTGCGCATGTGTCGCGGCGTGGAGGAACCATCGCGGCGCGAAGCGGGCAAGTGTGCGGTCTCTGAACTCCCGTGGAGGCACCCGTGGCGTGGTGCAGGGCGTGGAGTATTAGGTTGCCTCGGCGGAGTGCCGCGGCGTGGGGGCGTGCTGGGCAGCTTCTGAGGGCCCGCGAAGGGTTGCCGCGGCGTGGAGGAAGGCAATGCCGCGCCGCTGAGGGTTGCCGCGGCGTGGAGGAAGGCAGTGCCACGCCGCTGAGGTGCGCGGGGCTGCTGGCTCGGCTGTGCGACTTTTGCGTTTTAGGCTCGTTTGGGCTCGTCCGAACTCGGAATTGAGTTCTGTTTTTTCCTACGCGTCGCTAACGAACCCCTCTATTCAATGATGCTTTCATGACCAGATTTTGCCAATAGTAAAATCCTCTAGAGTTTTCCAACCTTCAAACGATCGGCAGCTTGCTGGACTTTACGTTTCGGCCCCGTCCGGATTCGTCTAAACTCGGAATTGAGTTCTGTTTTTTCCTGTGTGACGCCGACGAACTCTTCTATCTACTTATACTTGCCCGACTGACTTTTTCCAAAATTTGATCTTTCCAAAACTTTCGACCTACACACCATAAACGAAGAAAAACCGGAAAAACATATGGAAAACACAAAAAAAAAACCAAGATAGAGTAAAACACGCGATAAACTATAAAACGAGATAAAAACTAACTAAAAGACCTAATATGGGGTACAAAGAAAGGAAAAATAACAAATAAAAACACAACAAAAATGAGATAAATATCTTGTTCTTTCCTTCTCTTTACTTATTTTTTCTCCCATAAATCTCCCTACGGCATAACTCAATTTCACAGCCTGTGGTTTATTTTATCCACACATTGAAGAGGAAGTAAAATGATGAATTTATTTCAATTTCTTTCTTTCATTATTACAGATCTGTGAAGCAGCACCATCTAAATCTAATTTATTCTTCATTATTGTACAACACCACCATCCATTCGGCAACCGAGCAGCGACCAAGGTCCCAGGCCTCCCTGTACGCCAGCGACGAGCCAGTGGCCGTCCTGGTTCCCCGCCTTCCCGTATACCCCACCACCGTCCCCTGACTCCTCCACATCCCGTTTTCAGTCCCGTTGCAATTTCAGATCTCCAGTCATCGGGTCACCAACAAGTCTCAGTTTCAGATCTCCGATCATCAAGCCACCAACAAATCTCAATTTTAGTAATTTTAGACAATTACTAGAGAGAATTTAAAAGAAAAATAAATAAAAAGATAATTTTGGTTGGAAAAATCGAGGATCTCACCTGTTTGTGGGTTGTGGGTGATGGTTTTGTATTTTAATCAAGTCTTATAAATGGAAAACAAAAAAAAAAAAAAAATGTCTATAAGGACAAAATTGACAATGCATAAGTATCATTCAAATAAATGTCATTATACTCTATAAAATTAATAATAAAAATATATACAATTATGTATTATCCATGTAAAATAAATAAATATATTATATATTAATTAAACCGGTTCGATCACTGATCCGACCAGTGAACCATTAAATCGGTAGCTTCACCGGTTCGATGACCGGTCCAGTTTTCAGAACATTGGTTTTATGAATAAATTTATTTATTTATTTAAATTATATTTTACCTAAATTATTTTTGACACCCTCGACGACACGCGTGGGTGATGTACTACTAATAATAATAATTAAAAAATAGAAAAATTCCCCACCATGCCCATGGTGCACTTTTATTGGGTTTGAGTTTCATTCGGGAAATTTAAATCGGATGAGATATATGAATGAATGCATTCCACCAAGGCTGGGAGCATTTATGATCCACCACACCACATGCCCTCACTTAATGCACACTCCCAACACAACACAACACCTCCTCATAAAATTAAATAAAATTTACTGTATCCTCATTTTTTTTTTTTTTTCATTTATATATAAAAACCACCATGGAACGAGCATACCATAAATCCACATTTGGAGCTGGAGAGAGAAAAAGAGATAAATATGGGAGTGAAGGGTTGGAATGAATTGGGAGTTGTGGGTACAATTTATGAAGAAGAATATGAAGAAGGAGAAGAAGTTGATACACTCTCATCATCATCTTCTACCATACCCTCTCTAGAATTTACTCCTTCCCCTACCCCTTGGTAATGCTTATTTTATCTAATTCTATATTTCAATCCTTCAATACAGTCTTTCGGTAAATGCAAAATTATTCCACGCACATTGGAGTTGTTTTAATTTTATTTTTTTTTATTATTTTTTTTTTCATTTTTTTTGGTTGTTTTGATTCAGGAAATTGGGTAGGAGGAATGATCCAGACGTGGTGATACATGTTCAGGACTCGTGTTTTCGCCATCACAAGGTACCTTTATTTTTATTTTTATTTTTTTTTTCTTTTTCTAACGACAGAATCACAAGGTACCTTTATCATTTCTCTTCTTTTAATAATAATAATAATAATAATAATATCTCAGCGACTTTGGTATGGCGTTTGTGACGATGTCCACAAAATTTACTGAATTGTTTCAAGGGTTCCTTTTATTTGATCTTTTTAGTATATAAATTAAACGATATAGAATTACGGTACATCCATAAAAGAGATTAAATTTAATTTTCTCAGTTCACAGTTCGTAAAGTCCTGAAATTCATTAAAACTGTGGTCACTCACTCCTTTACAATACATTACCCAGAAACTGCAAAGAAAATTATTGCAAATATGTTTTGTTTGTTTAGCTAAATAAAATTAATAAATGCAACAAAAAACGGCAACGAAAGTTTATTTTATTTATTTTTTCCGGTACAACATGTAAAATATTAATGGGCCCATTTATTACAAAATCCCCAGGCCGCATTAATAGCGAGGAGTGCCTATTTACGAGAGAAGCTGAGCGAACTCCCAGAAATAACCCTCTCCCCGCCGTTAAACATAACGGCACAGACATTCTCCACAGTGACGGAGTTCTGCTATGGAGCCCACATCGCCTTAACCCCTTTCAACGTGGCGGCCCTTTGCACGGCGGCCCATCTCCTCGGAATGACTACGGGTGACCATAACTTGCAGGCCATAACTGAGGAGTACTTTTGCAGTGAAATCACTATCAACAAAGAGTATCTCTATGTGGTGCTCGACTCGACCTTCTCCCTCATGCCGGAGGTGGAGACTGAGGCATTGCTCATCACCAAGTGCATCGAGGCACTCAGTCTCACGGACGGCGCCAATTTGAGTTGCTTGGACGGCGTTAAGGGCTTGAGCATTCGAGATTTTGAAATTATTCTGGAGTCAATTAGTCAACGTTTGACTGACTGTCACGACCTTGTTTATAGAATCATCGACATTTACCTCAAGGTACGTACGTACATATGGCTATTTCTCCTGTAAAATTCTATTTTATCCTAGTTGATAGCCATATATTTAGTGGGGTATATTCATTTGAGATTTCAGTGATATTTTGAGACTTTTTAGATTTGAGATTTTTTAAGATTTTTAAATTTAAAAGGAATCACGTGAAATCTTAATCCAAAGTGGGATTTAGGATTTAGAGTGAGATTTTGTATATGTTTTTTTTTTCTTTAGAAATTCAAGCAAATCTTAACAAATACTAATCTCAAATAAATTAAATACCTCAAGATTTTTGTAAGACTTTTTTAAATTTCACATGAATACCACAAAACTTTTAAATATCTTAAAAAGTCTAAACTAAATACACCAGAATTTCTAAAATGTTAAAAAGTCTTTAGAAATTCCAAATGAATACACCACTCTTATAACATTTATAAGCAAAGAAAGTACAAGCTAGATAGATATATTGGATATTTCAAGATTTTAGATATGTATAATAAACAAAGACTAGCTACTATAGATCTACTTATATACATTTGAAGAATGGTATTCAAGATTTTAGATATATATAATAAACAAAGACTAGCTAATATACATATACTTATACACATTTGAAAAATGGTTTATAGGCCAACATGGAATCACTAGCGGAGGACCGGAAAACCCATATATGCAACCACATAGACTACAGCATCGTGTCCCCCAAACTCCTCATGCACGCTGTCCAAAACCCGAGAATGTCCCTAAGGTTTGTTGTCCAAGCCATGTTCCTCCAGCAACTCAGCACCCGCGACTCCATAATAATCTCAAACAGCCAAGAACAAAAAGACGGTATTACCCTCGGGGCCATCCTTGAGCGGGATGCGGCCCTCCGCCAGGTGTCCCACCTGAAGGCTGCCGTGACCGCCACAAGCTCGCGCATTGAGTCCCTCGAGAGAGAGCTGAGCGGTATGAGGAAGGCTCTGGATGGACGTGATGGACGTGCTTCTAGCTTCCGACTAACGAGCAATGATAGGGCTTCAGTTTCAGCTGAGAGGAGCTTTGGCCGGAGGCTGGTCGATGGGATTAAGGGCGCGTTTGGTTTGCGTACCAACAAGCACGGCACTAAAGGGATTAATGAGTTGGGTAGTAGTGACCGTGTTGTTATAATTAAAAAGGACCGAGCCTTTCACAGGCGCTCCACCTCTCAATCTTGAAATGTTAGATTTGTAATGCTTCTATTGTTGTTGTCCATCAAAAGGTATAAGTACATGGAATTGTTCATAATGTTATAATGTGGTTGGGTCAATCTTGAAATGTTAGATTTGTAATGCTTCTATTGTTGTTGTCCATCAAAAGGTATAAGTACATGGAATTGTTCATAATGTTATAATGTGGTTGGGTTGGAGTTGGGAGGGGAGAAAAAACAAGTCAAACACTAATGTTGAAGTGTTTGTTAGTCTATTTCAAGTGGATATGTCTAATGACCATATTATTTATTTATTTTGGAACTTTAATTTACAATGGGAAAATTTCAATTTTAGTCCCACAGGTATGGGGGGGTGACATTATTGGTCCCAACGGAATGCCTAAAATACAAATGGTCCCGCAACTTTTAAGAAACGATCAAAAGTAGGACTTTCTGCCCTTTTCCGGCCCGGAAATCCACGTCGCACATACGTGGCGTTTTTTCTTTTCCAAGCTGGCCTCATACGTCTGACGTGGCTGAGACACCCACACGCCTGGTAATAAAACGAGGGAAAATCAGAAGGATTCCCCCCGAAAATCACAATTGCCCCAAATTTTTTTTAGAACCCTAATCCCCAACCCCAAAAAATCGCCCCAACTTCGAGTAAACGATTGAAGTTGATCAAAATCACAATTGCGCATAAGGCTGAACGCGGATGGGGTTTCTTCGTCAAAAATTGCACCAGAATTTGCCTCCTCCCATATATCGTAAGTTATCATTTGAGTTTATTTCGATTTTGTGTATTTTGTTCCATTGTTTTGGGATTTTTGAGTTGACCATTTTTTGTTTCCCAAAAATTTACAGATCCAACGTCTGATTCTTTCACATTGGTGGTGCATTGGAATGAAAAATTTCAACATTTTCCAACACCAAAACATGAAGGAGGTAAGATTTTTATAGTTGATTATGTCACCCCACAAGAATTGAAATTGTTGGCTATCACTCTTTGGTGCAAACAAGTAGGGATCACTGGAGAGATGGGGTTGTACATGTATGAGAGTAGTGGGTTTTTGTTATTGTGCAGTGACAGAGATCTTAGTAAATTTGTTCAAGATGCTGTTAAAACTAGAGAGATGCATATATATGTTGATCTGATGGATCCTGTTGTTGAACCTAATGAGTCTGGTGAGCCCTCTAAGTCTAATGACCCTAAATCTGCTCCTGAGTCTGTTATCCAAATAAGAAGACATTAGGCTCCATCTGGCTACAATATGAAGAAGCCATGGGTGTAAGTAGAAATAGGATGTTTGTGGATGAAAATAATTCTGATTCTGATGAATTAAATGATTCTGATTACAACATGAGTACTGAAAATAGTAGTGAAGATGATGATGATGATTTGTGGGAAGAACATGTTGATGATATGGACAACCATGTCAATGGTTCAGATAATGATGTCAATGGTTCAAATAATGATGTCCATGGTTCATATAATGATGTCAATGGTTCAGATAATGATGATGAGGAAGATGATGTGGTTAGCCATAGCCCTCAACTAGATGAGTCTAGGGTGTCTGATGAAGATTGTGAGCCAAGTGAGCCTGCCTTCAACCCTGCACTTGTTTTCAATCCAACATTTGAATTAGGCATGGTTTATGCTACTAAGGCAGAATTTAAGAAGGCAATTCAGTCTCATGCTATTAGCACAAAAAGAAACTTGAAGTTTACAAAGACTGACAATAGAAGGGTATATGTTGAGTGTAAGGCTGAGAGCTGCAAATGGAGAATCAATGCTCTTAAGAAACCAGATGACGAAACTTTTATAATTTCTACTTACTTTCCTGATCACACTTGTCAACCAGAGTTCATTGTGAAGAACTTAAAAAGTAAATGGTTGAGTGAAAAGTATCTGGAAAGTTTTGAGACTGATCCTAAGAGGACTACCAAAGGGTGGAGGGCTGAAGTGATTAAAAAATGGGAGTTGGTCGATCCACCAAATAACAAGGAAGTCATTGGAGTCAAATGGGTCTACAAAACAAAGCTTAATCTAGATGGCTCAATCCAAAAAACATAAAGCACGACTGGTAGCTAAAGGGTACTCACAACCGGGGATCGACTACAACGAGACCTTCGCTCCAGTTGCTCGGCTAGATACTATAAGGGCTCTAATCGCTCTCGCGGCCCAGAAGAAATGGAAAATCTACCAGCTCGATGTAAAGTCAGCATTCCTCAATGGCTATCTAGAAGAGGAGATCTATGTCGAACAACCTCAAGGATTCGTGGCAGAAGGACAAGAAAATAAAGTCCTAAAACTAAAAAAGGCGCTTTATGGATTGAAACAAGCCCCACGGGCTTGGTACAGCCGAATTGATGACTACTTCACCAGTCATGGATTCAAAAGAAGCGAAATTGAGCCAACACTCTACATCAAGACCCAAGGTAACAATAACAAAGTCATTGTTTCTCTTTATGTTGATGATCTTATTTATACAGGGAACAATGAGGAGATGATTAAGTAGCTCAAAGAAGATATGATGAAAACCTTTGAGATGACTGACCTTGGGAAAATGAGCTATTTTCTCGGTATTGAGGTAAACCAAGAAGAAAATGGGATATTTATCTCACAGAGGAAATACACAGATAATCTTTTAAAAAGGTTCAAGATGGACGGCTGTAAACTCGTGGCGACTCCTATGGTTGCGAACGAAAAATTAAGCAAGGACGACGGTACGCCAAATACAGACGCATCCATATACCGAAGTCTGATTGGAAGCCTACTATATCAAACGGCCACAAGACCAGATATCATGTACGCGACAAGTCTACTGTCGAGGTTCATGCAAAGTCCGAGCCAAGTTCACTATGGAGCCGCGAAGAGAATACTGCGATATCTGCAGGGTACTAAAGGCTATGGAATCCAATACGAATATAATGAAGATTCAATACTGATCGGCTACACAGACAATGACTGGGCTGGATCAACAGACGACATGAAAAGCACCTCAGGCTACACATTTTCACTTGGCTCAAGCATATTTTCGTGGTCATCTAAAAAGCAAAACTGTGTGGCGCAATCATCAGCAGAGGCCGAGTATGTCGCAACAGCACTAACGACAAGTCAAGCTCTTTGGCTTAGGCGTATTCTTGGATACATTGGAGAATGCCAAGAAAGTCCAACGGAGATATACTGCGACAACAAATCAACGATAGCATTGGCAAAAAATCCTGTACATCACAGCAAAACCAAACACGTTGCTATCAAATATCATTTTCTACGTGAAGCCACCAATGACAAGAAGATAGAGCTCACATATGTCGCCACTGAAGATCAACTTGCAGATATTTTCACAAAGGCTTTACCGACACCAAGATTCGAGAGTCTGCGCGAAAAACTAGGAATTATCCAAATGAGCATTAAGGGGGAATATTAAAATAATTAATGCTCATTAGTAAAAATTAGTTGTTAGATATTAGTTGTTAGGTATTAGTTGGTAGATATTAGTTGAAAATTAAATAAATAAAATAAAGAGAAATTGTCAAGAAAGGCAGTTTAACCACCGACCTATGATGTATATATATATATATATATATATATATGTGTGTGTGTGTGTGTGTGTGTGTGTGTGTGTGTAATGAAGCTCGAAAGAAGAAGTAGAAGAAAACAGAAATCAAGAAACCAATTCACATCTATACTACTCTTTTTCACTATAATCTGTTTTCATATATTTAAACCTTAATATTTACTTAATAAATATTGTTCTTTTGGATACCAACAGTCTGACTCTAGTATCACCTTGCTAGCTTACCGAGCTGACTTTGAATCCTTATCAGCTCGCGACATCAATTAGAAGAACTTATCAATCTAATTTATAAGGTCGAGCTAATTGACCTAAGTCGACCGATCGATCTGATTAGCCTCGTCCTCTCGAGCAGGTAATCCAGCTCAACCGAGATGGGGCTATAACAATAACTATATATAGCTCACCAACCATGCTAATTAAACAAAAAGTACATAAGAAAAATGACTCATTTATTAATAGCTCATTTGCAAACATACTCTATGATGTGAAAAAATATGCACAAATAGAACTGAATTAATTTTATTAGCATTATTACTAACACTATACTAAGTAATTGTGAATATGCCTAATCTATATCTATATAAATATAAAAAGGTTTGTCATTTACCTGAAATAGTAACTGATTTCTCGCCTAAATAATTTATTTTTACCTATATTAGTAGTTTTTTTAAAATATTTTTGAATAATGGCGGCCAATTAGTTGAAATTCAAATTAAAACCATCAAAAAAATATGTACAAAATATATGAATGGATTCACATACCATACACAGACACCACATATCTTCGTTAATATAATCAAAGTGATTTCATGAAAGAGATCCATAAAAGAAAAATTAACTAAATAATGCTAAAAAGGAAAATTTGAAAATTCTATGGAATGTGAATCCCTCAAATTTTGTCTCAAATCGTGCCATGTAAAGTGATTTAAAGTGATAAAATCCCAACTGACGTTAGCCCTAAAAATATGGGATGACATTTTTCTTCTTCACAAGATGTCACTTAAGTTTTAAAATATGGGATGCCATAATTTTTTTTTTCAACAACATGTCACTTAAATTTTATCTCAAGACTCCACTTATGTTAATTCATGAATATCAATATTTAAATTTGAATATATATGCAGATAACATCTATCTTGTGAATATTGTCATGGTTTAATTTAAATAATAAATAATACATAGCTTAGGTAGAAATTTGATTTATAAATTTACTAAATTATTAATTTCACGAATACCTATATATAAATAATAGCGTAAAACAACTTTGGTATTATTTTAAGTAATTTCACACGTTTGTCAAGAATACTAGAGAACTTTTTTAGCATTTAATTTTTTACATGTTATATAACATTTTAGGTACTTTTTGATAGGCTTTTATATATTTTTGCACAACTTAAATTTATGTAGCAATTTTAATCTATCTATTAATATATAAAGAGACAATGATATTTACTTAACATAGTAACTACAAGTCACTTGATTTTCCGCTTGAAATTTCAGAACTAATAAACTAAGTAGTTTTTTTTTTCTTGAAATAAATCAAAAAGTCCCGCCAAGTGACATTTTGAACTTTTTCGGTTTAAAGGAAAATCCAACAATTCATTGGGATATATGTTCGCAAAATATTTTCACTATCCGCAAGTGTACGGTATAGCTGTAGTGAGTGGCGAGCAAGGTCGTATTCCACAGAGATTGTTGTCAAAATTAACTA